TAGCCTCCGTAGTCCGTTGACTTACCAATACTTATAGGCAGTTACTACCTATAGTGTAGTTATTGATGGGGGTGACAGGTTATTCCATTACATCAGTATGTTACTTGATACTTCCCTCTGTCCCACTCGATTTCAATAATTCCTGTGAGTGTCAAATTCTCCAAGACCACTACTTATGTGCCCTATAAATTTCAACTATCTCATTCTGATTCTAAGTACAAGAGTTCTTTTCATTTTGTTTTTCCTTAAAACTTCCTTACTTCTCACATGTTCCACCCATGGTATTCTTAGTATCTTTCTGTAGAATCTGTTGTCTCAAGTTTTCTTTTCGTCTTTGTCTCCAATATTCACTACCATATTGGAATTTAGATAATGGCATAGCAGTTCAGCACTCTTTTCTTTGTTTCTAACAGTTTTTTTTCTTCTTCTTAATACTTTTCCTGTTTCTGAGTGCTTAGTTTTTGGAAAGCAATTTATTGCTGTTCCAATGAGCATTTATATTTTGGCGTCACAAACACTTCCTAGAATGTCAACAGTCAAAGATGTCTTCGGATTGATATTTACTTCTGACAGCAAGACTTCAAAAAAAAAAAAAAAAAAAAAAAAAACAGTATTGATTTTATTTGTGAAAAGGTAAAGACGGTCATTTATAGAAATATTGGTCTCTTTTTACCTTTTTATTTAAATGCCTTATTGTTGTGGTAGGATCCACCTAATTTGCATAGTGGAGTACCGACCATATAAATATGGTTGGTACAGGGAAGACGAGGGGAGGAATCAGAGACTCTGCCCGACTGCGACTAAGTCAACACATTCTCCAGGAACGGTCTTCCCAAGAATATACAAAAGACTATATGTAAATATTGTGTACACTTTCTTGTTTCAATACATTTTGTTCTAAGTACATTTTGTGTTGTATTATTATTCCATGCATTAGTCAAGTTTCAACACTTATATATATATTTATATATATCATCTATCTTATCTAACAGTCGCAGGTTGAATATGTTAACAAGGAGCATAGTCAAAAAAAATTCTTGTAAGTTTTAGTTATAAAATGTGTCAAAAAAAGCTATACATATTTCCTCTCAAAACAACTATTGACTTTTCTGGAAATATTCACACTCATTCAGAAAAAAAGCAAACATTTGTCTTAAGTCAAAGCTTATCAATAATAATAATAAAAAACAACTGATCTTAAATTTGAATAACTTATAGTCAACGCCGGATTTAGGACAAATGAGGCCCTGTGCTAGTTAAGTTATGAGGCTCCTTACTTGGGCCCTGAAAGAGACAGGCCTGGCATGCCTACACAGACATAGAAGGAAGATGGAGACCCCGCCCTGAACAACGGAACCCTGTGCTTAAGCCCGTGTAAGCACAATGGTAAACCCGGCACTGCTTGTAGTTTAATCAACACGACTTTCTCAACTTTTTTTTTATAAAAGAACATTTACTATTTACTACTTTATTTTCATTACTGAAGTTGGTAATATTTTTAAGTAATAAGCTTTCCTTTTTTTTAATAACGGTTTTTATATACATTGAGTTGAGTGTATCTAAATTTTAGGTGGTGGCCAAATGAAAACTGCTAAAAATAACTACTAAAGCAATATTATAAGATGACAAAGCAATCATTTTAAATATTATGCGAAATAAAAGAGTTATCTTTTATCAAAATAGTAAAAAGTATGTCTTTAAATGTCTTCGTCTATTTTATCATGAAAATAACAGGGTGGTCTTCCCAGTCTTGAATTAAAGTCAGGGAATCAATTGGTTGCCAGTTCAAATATTGTCCATATAAACAAATACAAAAAACACAATCAGTAAAGATATCAGTTTATTTTTGAATTTAAAAAAAAAATCTGCAATCGAAACATACTGTAAACAGAAAATTAAACGTTTGAATATCTATAACTATCCACTAACCTATAATATTGATATCTAATAACAAATATAAACATGGGTCTATAAATAATATATTATTAATTATGAGATAAGATATCATCAACAAGCAAGAGATTCAGACCAATATCCGTATCTTTTAACGACAGTATTTTAAATAGAATGTTCTTTTAAGTTTATATTTAGACAATATTTTGCCGGTCTTCATGTTGTGTATCTGAGTTACCATTTCTGACTGAAGATGATCATGGAATATTTCATTCTTTTTCTTTCTTTTTTTTAAAGCTTGACAGTTCTTTTGAACTATTATGTTTGAATTGGTACATTCTCCAAATGATTCATGAAAAATAAAGGATCACAAAGACAATGACTTTAGTGAAGAATATTTCGGTGAAATTCAATGATATCTCATCTCACAAGCTTATTAAACTTTATTTTATAATTACTACTTAATATTTTAATAGAGATGTGAGTAAATATCTTTTGAGGAGAATCTAACTTAAACTATCGTTAGTAACTATTTTATTTAGGGTTCCTTTTCTTTGGCTTTTTTTAAGCCACTTAGTCACTTATTATACAACTCGTTGTCTCTACCAATTCAGTTTTAAACTGAGCAAATGATTTTGTCGATATTTATTCTTTTTATTCAATTAGCACATTATGTTCCTTTCAACTTGTGCTTAGTACAAGTTTGTCTTTGATTTTTGATGTCAGTCCTCTATACAAGTAGTAAAAAAAAGGGTGATGCTTGGATAGTGTTTTACCCTAGGTACAGATATTAATTAACCAAGAGCCATGGTCTTGATAACGTCTCATCATTTTTACAGTTGAAATGGCTAGACGTAACTGTAAGTTCTATGCTAGCAGTTTCTTCTCTCGCACTTCTCACTTGTGTAACTCTATTCTGGCTTCTTGCTTTCCAGTCAACTTTGATCTTCAAAACTTTAAATGCTATATCAGTCGTTATCTTCTGTCTTCTTTTATTGTGTGATCTCCATAATAATGTTTTTTCTTTCCAGATTCTCTCACATTCGATAATCTCTTGCATCTTAGTGGCTTTATTGCTTTGCTTGGGGTGAAATGATTAAATAACATCTAAATATAAATGATTAAAATCCAAGCCACTTATTATTTCAGTCAAAAGAAAAAGAATTTGGTAAGGTCCATGAACAACCAGTTGATCCTTGTTCACATATTAAGTAAAATACCCGTCAGCTATAAAAAGCTGAGGAATAATGATTATTTATGCTTTCTGCATATTTTAATGCTATAATTGTGGATGCAGTTTATAATATAAGAAGTAGCTGCAATCGTTGTTTTACGATGTTTTGATACAGTAAACATTTCTTTACGAGCACCGAAATAGTTTTGAAATCAACAGTACATATCTGGTATTTTAAATCCAAATATGGCAGCAAATCCAAAACGAGAAAGAATTAAAGAACAGGAATTTGAATCTTGAAAATAAAAGTGAAAGCAAACAGCTCAAGATGAGAAATCACATGGCCGAGTTCAAATTCCAGTTAAATTTGTTACATTAACTTAACACGCAGATACCCTTAGGAAAGATAGAAATCTATCTCTTCTCTTTGCCACTATAGTAGGACAGACTGGCTGACAACCAATCTTGGAGAAGGTTAAAACTGAATTGAAAACCAGCCTGATGAGGGTTGGGCCCCGTCGGAATATCTTGCTCAGGAAACACTACTTCTACTGCGACTGAAGTAAATGTGGTGCCACTTATGACCCTAATGTGCTACGGGGCACGTGACTGTGATTTTATCACATGTTCTGTCAAAATGGTACCACTAGTAAAAGCAAAGGAATATAAGAATTTATGGAAAACATACACAAGAATTGTGAAAACTGGAATTGCTGGTTAGCCATTTTCATAAAAGCTGCTTTAAGACATCAAAGGCAATCGATAATCTTAATTGATTATCCGAAAAGTATTCGTCATGAATAAATATTATCAGTGAATAAGGCAGTGGATATATTTGATGCATTGATTATTTTGCCAGGTAAACTTTAGAAGTTAAAAAGGCATCAGATAGTTAAATGTTTTATGGTTAATTTCTGAAATTTCTGTCCTACTTAATTATCTTCCTAGTATTATGAGAGATAAATGTAACAATTCTAATGTTAATATTAGCTGTTTCCTTGTAAGGAAACATTCAGCATTCATTAACAGAACAACATGAGTTACGTTTTCTTCACTTCCTGGACATCAGGCTAGGATCAAAGTGTAGTATCTGTTCTGCTAATCTTTGGTGGTAATGATAATATGAACTGTTTACTTATAGGGAAACATTCGGCATTCATTGACCGAGTAGCCAGTACTGCTTTCAGTTCTATAAAATCTTTCTCTTAAAAGAATCTTTCAGGAAAATAGGTTTCTCATGTCCAGTAGCTGTTATAGCTCTTTCCAGTATTGATGGTGGTTTTTCGTTTGAAGTAGTGCGGAATGCCAACATCTTGATTATGTCATTATTTTCTCTTTGAGTTACATGTGCTATTCATTTCAGTTGTTGCTGCTGTTGGAAATCTCCAAGCGATGCAGTTTTTATTATCTGGTACAGTTCTTTGTGATTCTGTACAATGTTCGAAGAAGTGAGGTCTTCACCATCATCCACAGGCTTCTCTCTCTCAAAGCTATATATAACCATTGATCTTAGAAAGTTGTATACAGCTGACAGTTTAGATATTTCTAACTGGGTTTGGCAGCATACCTGAGATTCATATGATAGTCTCAATCTGACTCGAGTTTTCAGGCTAATATATTGGCTTTATAGCAATTCATGGTGTTGGGTGATACTATCTCTAGTGCCGTCTATTCTATGTTCAAATTCCTTATCTTCTGTACTAAATTTATTATAATTGGTCCAAACACCAAGTTATAGGATTACCTAAAAAGTAGTTTTTGCATACTATAATATATTAAAATAATGATGGAATTTGTTCCAAATAAATTACAACTAAATGATGTGTACGACATCTAAATATCATCTAAACTTCTTCTAATTATGTCATCATTATTGATTATAACCTGAACACAGAGAAGCTACGAAAGGATGTTTTTTCTTTTTCATACTTACCAAATTTCAAAAAAGCCAATGCCAGCTGTAAGTGCGCAGACAGCACATAACACTCTCCAACTGAAGTCACGAAGAATGAATGCCACAACTCCAAGCAAGGTGACTCCAAGACCCCAGTTAACTGCGACAAGACCAGACATCAAGGTTCTCTTGTTGGCTGGAAATATTTCACATGAAAGTGAAACACCAGAAATCAGGCAGCCCTGAAAAAAGAGAAATTTCATTTCACCCATTTAGATTATATCAGAAAAAAATATATATATAGATATCTGAATGAAAGGATATTAATATATTGTCATTGTTAAACGGAACACTTCCCAGTTTACTCACTACTACACATGTTAAACGTTGAAAACAGACTAGCCACAAAAAATACACGAATGACAAATATAACCTAGACTACACGGAAATACAGATCCATCTACCGTAAACTTTCTTTAAATGTAATAAATCAAAAATGAAGGATTTGCGGACATTTATATGAACTTTTGTACTTGGTTTGGTGAGAGGTGCCATATATATAATCAATCTTATTGCCAATATTGTAATTATATATATATATATATATATATATATATATATATATATATATATACATATATATATATATATATATATATATATATATATAAAATTTAACAAAATATTTAGTAAGTCTGATATATAATAAATATAATCAATCTTATTGCCAATATTGTAATTATTTTGTTGCCTTTTTATTCCTCAATTTTTATTAAGCAGCCTATTACACACATACATACATATATATATATATATATATATATATATATATATATATATATATATATATATATATATATTCAGGTATGTGGTGCAGTTCAGTTTACATTACATGAATCATTCATACAAAAAACAGATATAGAAGTTAATGATATATAATGGCGAGAATACATCTTCGCAAACAAATTTAATAAAGTACATTAACCCCGAACCTGTAGATGAATGTTATGATCCCTGTTTATAAATTCCAGTTGAATAAGGTCTTTTTTTAGTATTTTACGAGCTTTCATCTGTTCAAAGCTAGATCTGTTCATGCCACATTGACTGAAAAACCTACGAGTACAAAAGAATTCTCCTATTACCATATTAGTACAAAAACGCACAATCTTAAAATTTAAAAATTCAACCTTAGCGTTGCGACCGCACGCTTCCAAAAAAATCTTACAATTAACAATAACACATTTCTAAAAACATTTTTTCGGATTACATCTATTTTTTCGTTGTCCTGTTATTACCGAGAAGTAAAAACCAAAAACAAATCTATTTCCATACCTGAGGATGTCTGTAGGAACAGACGAAAGCTTGTAAAAAATTAAAAAAAGACCTTATGCAACTGGAATTTATAAACAGGGATCATAACATTTATATACAGGTTCGGGGTTAATGTACTTTATTAAATTTGTTTGTGAAGATGTATTCTCGCCATTTATATCATTAACTACTATATCTGTTTTTGTATGAATGATTCATGTAATATATATATATATATATATATATATATATATATATATATATATATTCAAGCAGTCTTGGTTAAATAAATTAGACTTATTATGTCTATTTATTTTAGTTTCAATCCGAGACATATCTGAATGAAAGGAAAAAGTCGAAGAACAATAGTCCGAATAATGTAAATAATGTACATAATACCTCATCTCAGAAATATAGACAGATAACGAAATAGTAGTAGACGAGCAGGTTATTTAGCCGGATTACGCTGGTCTGGTGCTTCTGTTTATGTAAAATACAAAGAAGAATCTGCAATATTATTAGTCTTGATCTGGCATCTCTGGTTCAATTAATTTCCCGATGCTGTAACATAATTTCCTGTGCCTTTTCTATATTTTCATGGGAATTGTTCTGTTGAGCTTTTCCTTTTTTGTATATAAATTGTATTTATTGTAAATATTCATTGGCGTTTCATTTTTAAATATTGTTATTTTCATTCCCCACCCACTACAGACAAATTGTACATATATGAACTAGTTAGGACTTCATAGAGACTTTGAGGTATTATGGTGACCGTAGTAAAAACGGCAAGTAAGAATGTGTTGTTTTGGTGTAAGGAAATCTGTGGTATGTTAGGGTTAGTTATTGTGGCTAGCTAAGTTCAAGATAAGACAGATTAACAGCCTTCCCTTTATCACCACTTTTAGTCTTGTGCCACATTTTTGTATAATAACAAAATAAATATTACTTTCCTCTTTAGTGCCTATACTTTACAAATTTAAGCGCCGTACTAGACTGGCAGCTAGGTCTCATCATTTTACAGTTGAAATGGCTAGATATACCCATAAGTTTTATGCTAACAGTTTCTTCTCTCCCACTTCTCACTTGCAGAATTCTCTTCCAACCTATCCCTTTTCTGTCAACTTTGATCTTTAAATGCAATGTCAATCGTCATCTTCTCTCTTTTAAATTCCTGTTCTTTTATTGTCCTATATCCTTAATAATGTTTTTCTTAATGTAATGATTATCTGGCGTTTGAATATAATTGCTATCAGGCGTTGATGGCGGAAGAAGAATTATGAAAAAAAAAGTTCCATCAAAGTAGATATGATTTAAACTTAATTCGTTGCTAATTCTTCTGTATGTAACACTGGGGTAGACTGTTCTAGTTCCACGTGCCATGTCTAATGGATGTCAGTTATCAGTTATCTCCTGCTTAATTCCCTCTCCAAGTTCTCCACCACCTTACCCCAGTGAGTGAAATAAAGGGTTCAGTTTGACATTCCAACCACTTGAAGAAGGCTGGAGAATACAACGGCCGAAACGTTGTAATAAATATGGCAACAAAGATGAGAACAGTAGCCTGAATAATGTAAATAGTGTGCATAATACCTCATCTCAGAAATATAGACAGATACTGAAAGGCCGAAACGTTGTAATAAATATGGCAACAAAGATGAGAACAGTAGTCCGAATAATGTAAATGTACATAATACCTCATCTCAGAAATATAGACAGATACTGAAAGGCGAAACGTTGTAATAAATATGGCGACAAAGATGAGGACAATAGTCTGAATAATGTAAATAGTGTACATAATACCTCATCTCAGAAATATAGACAGATACTGAAAGGCCGAAACGTTGTGATAAATATGGCGACAAAGATGAGGACAATAGTCTGAATAATGTAAATAGTGTACATAATACCTTATCTCAGAAATATAGACAGATACTGAAAGGCCGAAACGTTGTAATAAATATGGCAACAAAGATGAGAACAGTAGCCCGAATAATGTAAATAGTGTACATAATACCTCATCTCAGAAATATAGACAGATACTGAAAGGTCGAAACGTTGGATAAATATGGCGACAAAGATGAGGACAATAGTCTGAATAATGTAAATAGTGTACATAATACCTCATCTCAGAAATATAGACAGATACTGAAAGGCCGAAACGTTGTAATAAATATGGCAACAAAGATGAGAACAATAGTCCAAATAATGTAAATAGTGTACATAATACCTCATCTCAGAAATATAGACAGATACTGAAAGGCGAAACGTTGTGATAAATATGGCGACAAAGATGAGGACAATAGTCCGAATAATGTAAATAGTGTACATAATACCTCATCTCAGAAATATAGACAGATACTAAAACTAAAGATGAGGACAATAGTCTGAATAATGTAAATATAAATATCTCAGAAATATAGACAGATACTGAAAGGAGAAAAGTAGTAATAAATATGGCAACAAAGATGAGAACAGTAGTCTGAATAATGTAAATATAGACATAATACTTATCTCAGAAATATAGACAGATACTGAAATAAACGTTGTAATAAATATGGCAACAAAGATGAAACAGTAGCGAATAATAATGTAAATAGTGTACATAATACCTCATCTCAGAAATATAGACAGATACTGAAATGAAACGTTGTGATAAATATGGCAACAAAGATGAGGACAATAGTCCGAATAATGTAAATAGTGTACATAATACCTCATCTCAGAAATATAGACAGATACTGAAAGGCGAAACGTTGTAAAAATATGGCAACAAAGATGAGAAAGTAGCCCGAATAATGTAAATAGTGTACATAATACATTAAGAAATATAGACAGATACTGAAACGAAACGTTGTAATAAATATGGCAACAAAGATGAGAACAGTCCGAATAATGTAAATAGTGTACATAATACCTCATCTCAGAAATATAGACAGATACTGAAAGGCCGAAACGTTGTGATAAATATGGCGACAAAGATGAGGACAATAGTCCGAATAATGTAAATAGTGTACATAATACCTCATCTCAGAAATATAGACAGATACTGAAAGGCGAAACGTTGTGATAAATATGGCGACAAAGATGAGGACAATAGTCCGAATAATGTAAATAGTGTACATAATACCTCATCTCAGAAATATAGACAGATACTGAAAGGTCAAACGTTGTGATAAATATGGCAACAAAGATGAGAACAGTAGCCCGAATAATGTAAATAGTGTACATAATACCTTATCTCAGAAATATAGACAGATACTGAAGAGCAAACGCCAGGATAAATATGGCAACAAAGATGAGAACAGTAGCCCGAATAATGTAAATAGTGTACATAATACCTCATCTCAGAAATATAGACAGATACTGAAAGGCGAAAACGTTGTGATAAATATATAAAAAAGATGAAAAACAATAGTCCGAATAATGTAAATAGTGTACATAATACCTCATCTCAGAAATATAGACAGATACTGAAAGGCCGAAACGTTGTAATAAATATGGCAACAAAGATGAGAACAGTAGCCCGAATAATGTAAATAGTGTACATAATACCTCATCTCAGAAATATAGACAGATACTGAAAGGCCGAAACGTTGTGATAAATATGGCGACAAAGATGAGGACAATAGTCCAAATGATGTAAATAATGTACATAATACCTCATCTCAGAAATATAGACAGATACTGAAAGGCTGAAATGTTGTAATAAATATGGCAACAAAGATGAGAACAGTAGCCCGAATAATGTAAATAGTGTACATAATACCTCATCTCAGAAATATAGACAGATACTGAAAGGCCGAAACGTTGTAATAAATATGGCAACAAAGATGAGAACAGTAGTCCGAATAATGTAAATAGTGTACATAATACCTCATCTCAGAAATATAGACAGATACTGAAAGGCCGAAACGTTGTAATAAATATGGCA